CCTGCCACGCTTCGGCTTCGCGTATTGTTGTGTTTGTTTTTGGGCTTCTGGATGGTTGTCGTGCAGCGCTTAATTGGGGAACTGAATCCTGCATTGATGGCGCTTTTTTCTGCTTGTTGCTCTTTTTGCTATTTCTGTAGGAGTAGTGCTGATGGTGATGATAACGATGCGCTGTGTGCTGATTGCTTTTGCTCTGTGCTTGTGGTATTTCTGCGGGTGTGCTTCTGGTGCGCGGGATATTTACGTTGAGGTGCCTCTTGTTGGCGGTTACGGAGTAGTGCTCGGGGAAACAGGTGGGCAGTCTGGTCCCGCCGGAGGATGCACTAAGACTGAGAGTAATACTTGCGAGAAAGGGTCTGGCTTGAATGCTGAGCCTCTGCGATCCGGCGATGGTGGAGAAGATGCTGTTGAACCCTCTAATAAGGTGCCGAAAGATATTTCAAATGACCGTCAGCATTGTAAAGATGTTGAGGTGGATTGTAAAGGTGATAAGGGAGAAGATCGGAGTTGCCCAGAACAAGCGCTTCAGCAGTGCAGGAAGGACGTTCGGCTTGACGACAGAAGCGTTGACGGGAATACTCCGTGCACGGACTCTGCAGCTACCACGGGTACTGGTACAACACCTTGCCTTGCACCGGTGCAGAAAGGTGAACGTGAAGCGCAGCCGCCGAGTGGTACTGAAAGAAATAGCTCTGAACAGGGCCTTCAGCGTGCTGAGCCGTGCCCGGAACATACAGAAGGCACTGAGAGTTGCCCTCGTCCTCCTTCGTCTCCTAAAGCGCAACCCCAACCGCTTCCTGGAGAGCGGCTGGCGCCGGACGTGCCCCCCGCAAAGGTGGAAACAAATATTGGCTTGCGCACACCCAAAGGTGACAGCGGACATGGAGTCGGTGAGGAAGCTGACAATCAGCAAAAGGACCACAAGCCCACTCAGACCAACGACAGCCAAGACACAACGGGACGTGACAAAGACCGCATCTCTTTGCCCAAAGCTGAGAAGGCACAGGAGAATGAACAGGTGAAAACTGTGGACCACACCACAGATGTCAGCACGGACACAAGAAATGACCCGCAGAACACTGGCGCTCCATCATATGCAGGTCACGTTGGCAACACTGACGGTTCTTCTGAGGATCCACCAAATGCGGAGCACAACTTGAATCCTCAAAGTGCGGCCAAACAAAATGGCGAGAGGCAGTCACAGTTTCCTCCCGCACCTATTTCTTCAGGTCACTCAGACGACGCAGCCAGCAAACCCAGCGACACTCCCGTGCCCGACACTATCAAAGACACGAAGAGTACGGACAGCAGCGTCAGTCCTGTGTGGGTGCATGCACCGCTGCTTCTGCTG